AAGAACTTGCCAACAAGAGGGGGACCTAAACACTGAAATGAACAGATGAAATAATGTTATCTGGTGGCATTAAAAGCAGGCCAGACTGTCACAGGGGTGCAGGAAGGTAGCATCAGGTAGTAGACCACCAGCTCTGAAGTTAGAGGGTCACAGACAGGACACATAAGTTCCTCCCAACCCCTCGATGGACTGCCAAAGCTTCAGCTGCACTCACGTAGAAAATGGGGTTGACAATAGTGCCAGCTCACTAAATTGCTAGGAGGATTAATGCATAATGATGCATTTTGTCTCTCCCTATGCAGAGGACCACACGAGTTTGTAGTTGTGTCTAAGCTCTCCACAGGGCCCTGGGGTTTGCAGGTATTGCCTCTCAGGGGAGCAGCCAGAGTCAAAAAAAGAGCTCCGTCTATTAAATTCATACATGAAACTGTGATGGGTTTCAGGCCAAGATCAGACATCTGCCACACATATTACAAAGACACAAAGGTTCAACAATTGGAACTCATCAGTGAAATGTATTTTAAAAAAAATCCTTGCATAGATTATTGCTCCAATTTGATAAAAGAACCGGCTTTGCTTGGAGCAGGAGGAGGCGGAGGCGGCGGCAGCAGCACCATACTTTCCTGCCAAATATCTAACCCTTTAACAATGCCTGTCTGGTGAGTCTGAGCGCTCCAGGAAAAAGCCACCAATAAAATCCTTTCCAAGGGTCTGTGTGGAGCAGGGGGAGAGGAAATGCAGTCAGCTCTTTTTTCTCTGCAGGAAGGGAAGGCTGAACAACTGCACATCAGGAGAGAAGGCAAACAAATTGCCCATTCAAGCCAAAATAAGCTGTTCCTGGGGGAAGCAAAACAGCTGGAGTCAATTCAGCCAGACACAGAGGTGAGGGCCCCAAAGACAAGGCCGGGCCTGGGGAGCCAGCTCTGGCAGGCGAGGAATCTTCTGAGCAAGTGGTGGCCACTTGCCCTCATCTCACCTCTGCTGACCTCAGTCTGTGCCCAAGAACGGGAGCCAGCCAGCCAGCTCGGTCAGATGTGGAGGGAAGTCCTGGGTGGAAAGGAAGAAAGAAAGGAAGCAAACCAGGGAACCTGCCAAGTGAGCGCACACTGCTGAGCACCTGTTACGTGGCAGGCGCTGAGCAGGCACCTGACATACCTGTGCCATTTGGAAAAACAACTTTAGGGGCAGGTACTGTGAAGGTGATTTTACAGAAGAGGAATTGGGCTCAGTGAGGAAGAGGGACTGTACAAGGACATAGCCAGAGAGTAACCAGGCCAGCCATGGCCAGGGACCTCAGCGCTCTCCCTCCCGCTTGTCACTCAAGTTTCTCTCTACCCAGCTCCAGCAGTTCCTTTGTCTAAAGCAAGAACTGACCATCCTTTTTAGCCATGGGGGTGTCTGGCAACAAACACAGAACATATCAAGAGATGCTTCATTGGAAAACTAAGGAAAGAACCAAAGCAAATTGCAAAAAAAGGGGAAAAAGAAACCTTGAAGCAAATGAAATAGCAGAGTAGAATTATTTTGATCTCCTAAGAGACTGCAATGCAGCGGCTGTAGAGCTCGCCTTGGGCAGGACATGCGGGTCCTAGGTCCTGTCTGGGACAGTGGATAGTGGAATCCTGACCTGGCACACAGCAGGGCTAGCAGTGTTTCCAGGTCCCCTACATTGGAGTCCTCAGAGTCCAGTTTGAAAATCATTCTGCGGCTATGCTGAGCTCCTGCCCTGGACCCTGACATCTGTGGGGGTTAGGGGGAGACACTTCTCTCTCTAGCTTCTGTGATTCCTACCCTAAGACTCAGACCTTCTTAAAGTCATCTTAAAATTCCTTCTTTCCTTGAGGTCTTCATAAAATAATAATAATAATAATTAATAATAATAATAATAATGTCAGCTAACATTTATTGAGCCTTTACTTTTGTGCCAGGCAGTTAGCACTTTACATAACATATATCTTACAGATGAGGCGATCAAGACACAGAGAGGTTAAGCCACTCATACAAGGTTACAAAACTCACAAGTGGAGGAGCCAGCATTTGAACCCAGGGCCCAGGCTCTTCCTCAGCAATACCCACAGTGCCCCAGGCCTTAGGATCTGACAGTTGAAAGAGAAATCCTAGAAGTCAGGCAGACAGCTCTTCACTTACTGCTCCTTACCCCTAGGCAACCTGGTTAACCTGTCTAATCTCTGAGTCTCAGCTGTCTCTTCTAGAAAGTAGATGTGATCATTATACTTGTGGAGTTGTGGCTATTCTAGGACAGAGTTGGTCCTCAATTACACCCTTCACCCGTCTCTATTTCACCTCCCCTTCCAGTTCTGATTGTCATACATTCATTAAACATTAAGACTTTCTACCCTTGAATAAGGACTGGCTTCTTCGTATTCTGTTCTAGTCTATTGTGTGCCTATAATGTGTGGGACTCAGCACCAGGCACTGTGGGGCTGGATCTCAGGGAATGAGACTGGAGGTGGGGAAATCCACCTAAGGTGGGCAATGGCAGAGGGCAGAGGGCAGAGGGCAGAGGGGAGGAACTGGCTGTGAGAACCAGGCATTAAGCTGGTAGGACTCTCCTCCTCCAGCTTGTCTCCCTTTTGCTGGCCTCCTGCCAGGACTAACAGGCACTTCTTGGTCGCTTCCTGGTGCACAGCTTACACCCTGCAGGGCACCCACCAAGGGCCCCATTCCTCCTGTGCTGGGGAGGCACATAGACATGTTCAGAGCCCTGTGACTGGGCCCACTTTTCCTGACTTTGGAACCATTTACTAAGCACACTGTGAGCCAGACAAGGCACTGGGGACAAAACAGAAAGTGACAGGTCTGCCCTCGGGGAGCTCACCAGCATGTGCTCTCCAGTCTCTCATGTTCTCCTCACCTGGGTGAGGCAGGACACACCTCTCCAGAACACTATCATTTCTCTCTTCCAACTAAGGATTACTTCACTAGAACAGTCACAATAACACACAAGTGTCCCCTCCCCACCCTGACCAATAGAAATGAGAAACAAACAGAATTATAAACATGTATGTACATATGAGTGTATTTCTTATGCACCCCCTATTTACCAGGTATTTCACATACATTATCGTGACAACAACAACTCTGCAAGGTGGGATTACTGCCAGTACAGAGAGGAGGGAGAACTGGCAGCTCACACGATGGAGCCGATTCGAACCCAGGCTGTCTGCCTGCAAGTCTATGCTCTTTCTCCAATCCCAGGCTGCCTCAGCTCACCTGCTGCCCTGCTAGCTCTGGCTCCCTCCTTCATCTGAATTTTGTTCTTTCGTATACTTAGATTCCCTACAATTGTTTTGTTTGTGTGGTCCCAGAGGAGGCCAGCCTCTCCCAGACCAGTGACAGCAGCAGCAGCAGCAGCAGCAGCAGCAACAGCAGCAGCATCCTAGGCACCACCTCTGACTCTCTGATTAGCTTGTCTTAATTAAACCCAGGCTGGAGCAGGGCGGGACTGCTGCAAAGTGTGCAGGTTCACTGCTCCATTTTCTCACTCCTCTGACTCCAGCCCCGTCCACTCCCCAGCCCTCCACGGGCTGGCAGCCTTCCTCCTCTGCTGTCCTTGGTTCTGCCTCCTTGCACATCACGTTCAGCGTGCCAAGGAGTGCTTCAAACTGCTGCCACCCCAGGCGGCTGAGCCAGTCCAGCTCAATTCAGAAAAGAGTGCTCGAGTCTCTGCCAAGTGCCAGGCACAGCTCTAGGTGCCACAAATAGGCAGGAAGCAAACGGAAAACACTGGGGCCTTGTCCTTCAGAAGCTCAGAGTCAGAGGCTGAGAAGGAGAAGTAGACAGAACAGAAATCACCGGCACAAGTCAGGCGGTGAGGGGGTTGCAAGAGTCCTAAAATATCAGAGCTGGAAGGAACCTTGGCTTCCTGTTTTAACCCCTCCATTTTATAGATGGGGAACAAGAGCCCACAGGAGGGCAATTATATGAATAAATGATGTCACGTAATAACAACCAGCACTTCTAAAACCCTTATGAGGAGCTAAGTATTGTTCCACATGCTTTACATGTATTAACCCTCTCAGCATCGCTCTGAAGTAGGACGATTGCCCTCCCCATTTTAGTTTTTTTTTTTATTATTCCTCACCCAAGGATATTTTTTTACTTATTATCAGATAGAGTGGGAGGGAAGGAGAGAGAGAGACAGAGAAACATCAATGTGATAGAGCCACATCGACTGGTTGCCTCCCGCACAACCCAACCAGGGCTGGGGACAGACCTCAACTGAGGTACGTGCCCTTGACCAGAATCAAACCCGAGACTCACTGGTCCACGGGTGGATGCTCTAACTGCTGAGCGAAACCAGCCAGGGCACCCTCCCCATTTTAAAAATGAGGCACTGAGTCCATGCAGCTAATAAGTGGCAACCTGGATTGAACTTAGGCAGTCAGGCCCTACATTTCTGTCTCCCTAATGTACTGTGAGATGGAGACAAAGTCTACCTGTGGAAGTAATAAGAAGGCTCCTTGAAAGAATTACTTTAGGCCCTGCTTAACGAGAATCAACGCAAAGGAAGCCTTAATTAATCAGAGGCTTCAACTCAGAGTTCCCAAGCACCACAAAATACAAGGCAGTAAGTGAAGAGAGCCCCATATTCCCAAAGAAAGAGCCAACCGAGAGGAACAAGCTTGGTGGAAGGGGTTTATTCAAGGAAGGAGTAGCAGCTCAATCCTCTTCCCCTTTATGTCTGGCTTTCTACACATGCTGCCCCCAACCTGTAAGATCTTGAATATCCTCAAATGCCACTTCCTGAGGTAGGGAGACCAGCTTAGGCACCTTCAAAAGATACTCAGTGATGTGGATTGAAATTTTTAGAAAAGGAGATTATAGTAAAGCCTTGGTCAACCAAAGACTTCCATTTCCCAGAATCTCCCCAATACACACACACACACACACAGAGGCACCCTGGTTAACCAAGAGTCTTCTCCAATTTTGCCACATGAGTTATAGAATAAACAGTTACCAGTATATGAGCTACTTACCAATCACTGCCAGATTATGTTCTGAGCCACAAGAGACCTGTTAAAAGAAAGAAAATAAGTTATATTAAAGAAAGAAAATATATAGATATTCCAGCCTATATATTTTATGATCAGTTATTTTCTAATAATACTAACACCTATTTTTGGCAAATTTTAGAAATTAAGTAGAAAGGGGCACCATATACAAAAGATGACTATAATTACAACACACTCACAACTACATAAAAAGGAAAAGTGATTTTTTAAATTGCATAAAATAAACCAAGATGTTAAAGTATTTGTTTTTAGGCAGTGAGACCACGGGTGATTTTTTAAAATCCTTTCTTCTTTCTACTCTTTGTATTTTTCAAACTTTCTATAATGAGCACGTATTAATACAAAATGAAAACATAAGGTAATACAAATGACAGTTTTTGAAAACTGAACTAAAAACACCATCACTCTTACCTGGACTGATAAAATGAGCTAATTCTCTGCTCATTTTCCTCAGACTTGTCTTAGGACAAATGTCTGACTTTTCTCATTTGTTCACTCTTCCTTTCACACAAACATCTGTAGTTCTCTGGACACGGCAGGTTCGTCACACCTCTGGGCCTTTGCACATGCTGTTGCTCTGCTTGGAATGACCTGTCTAGTTGCCTACCTAGAAAACTTCCACCCATCCTTTAAAATCTCAGTGTCCACTGAGACTCCTTTGCAGCTGCTTCAAGGCAGACTAAAGCACTCCTTTCTTTTTCTTTTTCTTTTTTTTTAATAGGTTTTTATTTATTTTTTAGAGAGAGAGGAAGGTAGAGGTAGAAACATCAATCAGCTGCCTCCTGCATACCCCCTACTGGGAATCAAGCCCACGACCCCAGCATGTGCCCTGACCAGGAATTGAACAGGGGCCTCTCAGTTCACTGGATGACGCTCCGTCCACTGAGCCACACCGGCCTGGCTCAAGCACTCCTTTCATTGCCCAACTTATATACACTCCACTGTAGCAATTATTTTGTGGCCTTTTACATTTTCTCCTGTCTCCTCACTAGACTGTATATGTCATGAGAACACGACTCTCCTTCACTTCTGTGTTGCATAGTTGGATTGTACAAGGCCAGGGACTCAGATAACATCTGCTAAGTAAGAATGAATGAAAGAACAAAATACATAAAAGAACAAATACCTAATACACAGTAGACAATCGTTTGGGATTCTGAATCCTGTGTCTACCCAGCAAGAGGCCCTTCTTGCCTTTCAGACTCTACACATCCCAACTGCTGCCAGGAGGAAGTGATGGAGAATATTAAAGCAGAAACAGTTCTCCAGGTACTAATTAAAAGGAACTCAAGACTCTGGAGAAGCATCCTGTGACCTTTATCAGGATGTTCACTCTAGCTCCTGGCAAGAGGAAGTCTCCAGGTACTTACAGAATGCCAATGTGGGAAGGGCCCTAGAGATCCAGTCCAATGTTTCTACAGTACAGGGAGAAAACTGAGGCTTGGGGAAAGGACAGAACTTGCCTTGGGTGCCAAAGCAAGTGTGTGTCAAAACTAAGACTAGAACAACTTTTTTTCTTTTTCAATTTTTATCAATTTATTTTTGTTACAGCTGTTTCTCCATTTTTCCCCCTAGACACTCTCCTCACCATCCTGGCCCTCCAGTCCCCCAGCATTGTTGTCTATGTCTATTGGTTATGTACACATGCATATAAGTTCTTTGGTTTATCTCATCCATCTCCCCACCCCCCTCCTCTGAGGTTTGTCAGTCTGAACCATACTCCTTTCTATGTCTCTGGGTTTATTATGTTCATCAGCTTATTTTGTTCATTATATTCCACAAATGAGATCATGTGATATTTGTATTTCTCTGATTGGCTTATTTCGCTTAGCATAATACTCTCCAGGTCCCTTCATATTGTCTCAAAGGATAAGAGATCCTTTGTGCATAGTGTTCCACTGTGTATATGTACTACAGCTTTTTTATCCACTCGTCTATTGATGGACATTTGGGCTGCTTCCAGATCTTAGCAATTGTAAATAGTGCTGCTATGAACATAGGGGTACATATATTCTCTCTGATTGGTGTTTCAGGCTTCTTGGGGTATATTCCTAGAAGTGGGATCACTGGGTCAAATAGCAGATCAATTTTTAATTTTTTGAGGAAACACCATATTGTTTTCCATAGTGGCTGCACCAGTCTACATTCCCACCAGCAGTGTACTAGAGTCCCCTTTTCTCCATACCCTCGCCAACACTTGTTTGATGATTTGTTGATGGCAGCCATTCTGGCAGGTGTGAGATAATACCTCATAGTTGTTTTAATTTGCATCTCTCTGATGATTAGTGACACTGAGCATTTTTTCATATGTCTCTTGGCCATTTGTATGTTCTTTTTGGAGAGGTGTCTATTTAGGTCCTCTGCCCATTTTTTCCCCCAAGATTTTATTTTTTAATTAATTAATTAATTAATTATTGTTACAGATGTTTCTATCTGCCCATTTTGTAATTGGGTTCTTTGTCTTACTTTTGTTGAGCTGTATGAGCACTCTATATATTTTGGAAATTAACTCCTTATCTGATGTATCATTGGCAGTTATGCTTTCCCTTATAGTGGGTTCCCCTTAAATTTTGATGGTTCTTTTGCTGTACAGAATAGAACCATTCTTGATTCGCACACTAGTTCCTTTCCCGATGCTACAGCTTCTCACTCTTTCCCAGTGAAAACCACTCGGAAGTGATATTCAAAGATAATCCGTATTGGTCCCTGAAGGTAACAGGTTCAAAAGGCATTTGAGCACTGAAGGCCAAATAACACATTGGTAGGTGAGAAGGGGCAGCAAGTCTGAGGCTTTTTTCCTTATAAAAAAAACTGTGCTTCTGCCCTGGCCGGTTTGGCTCAGCAGTTAGAGCGTCGGCCTGCGGCCCTGAGAAACCCGGGTTCGGTTCCTGCTAAGGGCGCGTACCTCGGTTGCAGTTTGTCACCGGCCCTGGTCGGTTGTGCGGGTGGCAGCCACTCGATGTGTTCCTTTCACATTGATGTTTCTCTCTCTCTCTCTGTTCCTCTCTCTCCCTCCCACTCTACCTGAACAAAAAATGGAAAAATGTCCTCGGGTGAGGATAAAAACAAACAAACAAAAAAAAAAAAACTGTGCTTCCCAGATCCCAGCTCTACAAGGAAGAGGGCTGCCCGCATTTCGGTGGACTCCCTGACCGTGTCTGGCAAAGACGTAACTGTATATTTTATCCCAGTAAAGACTTCTAGGTTGTTAGTCTCTGGGGTCCTTTGAGACAGGCTCTGTATCTAATTTATCTGAGAGGGTCCCACCATGTGTCATACACACAGCACAAGTTCACTGTTTGCTTCCTGATTATACTGAGGCTGATTCCCTAGGTTCTGTCATAGAAAGATGTTTAGATTGAAAAACTAGGAAAAACTTAGATATCTAACATTAGGGAAATGCTTATGTAAATTTTGATAAAGCTATTAAACAGACTTGGAAAATGATGCTTATAATAAAGGAAAACACTCATGACATCCTGTGAACTGAAAAATCGCCTAAAAACAGTAATATGTAATATGATCTCAACTCTATAATGAAGCATGAATAAAAGACTGGAAAGAATACATCAAAATGCTGACAGTGATTGCCTCTGTACTAGGGACGAGATAGGCATTACAAGTATGGTTTTTCCTTTTGTGTTTTCTTTTTTTTTATCCTCACCCAAGGACATTTTTCCATTTTTTGTTCAGGTAGAGTGGGAGGGAGAGAGAGGAAGAGAGAGAGAAACATCGATGTGAAGGGACACATCGAGTGGCTGCCACCCGCACAACCGACCAGGGCCGGGGACAAACTGCAACCGAGGTACGCGCCCCTAGCGGGAACCGAACCCGGGTCTCTCAGGACCGCAGGCCGACGCTCTAACCGCTGAGCCAAACCAGCCAGGGCTCCTTTTGTGTTTTCAATGCTTTCTAAATTTTATACACCATTTCTATAATCAGAAAATGATCTATTAAAAATAAGAAAAATAATACAATGCAGTTTCCACCAGAGGGGGAAAATACTCCTGCCTGCTATAAAATCTGATATGCTCTGTAGTGGAGAAAAAAGATTTAAAGGAAATATAACTACATTACAAGGGTAGCTTCTGGTCTCTGTCTTTCAAATATTCCTTACCAATGGTGGTAGCAGTAGTGGTGATGATGGCAGCGATCAAAGCAGGAATTAAAACATATATCGAGGACTCATGTGCCAGGCGTCACGCCAAGGCACTTTATAAACATTATCACATCTTAATTATCACAATAATCTTTTCCAGGTAGCTTTAACTTTGCTCATTTTAGAGATAAGAAACTGAGCTCATACATATTAAATAACTCATAGCTAGCAAAGTGGCAGTATCAGAACTAAAACCCAGATCCTGGTCTGTAGTGCTGGACCTTATTACCTTCATTTTTCAAAAATAAAGTAATCTCATTTCACAAAATGCAGACAGAGAAAGGGCTTGCCTCTGACTGCCAGAATTCAACCTGGGGCTGCGGACTGCAGAGCTGACCAACACTGAGGACCAGAGGCTTCCAGAAGCTTCCAGAAACAAGCCACTGACACATGCCAGTATCAGGCAGTAGGGGCTGCTCTGAATTAATAAGTGAGATGGTGATGAATGGATTTTGTCAAGGCAAGGTACAGCTTGAAGCTCAAAGCTCCCCACTGCTTCCTGCCGTCTGTGCACTGGCACAGAGGTCAGGAGACTGAACACCACAGGCTACAGAATCCCAGCACTACACTCCTTCACCAAGACTGTATCGATGGCCATTTGTCTCACATTGCTCCTGTCAGCATCTACTCACTGCCCAGATGCAGGCAGCTTTCTAGAAGACTCTTGTTTAACAATGGCAGTGCCGGGAGAAAGAGATTCAGAGCCAGGAAGCCCGGTGAGTCCTCAGTCCTCTGCTTCCTGGCTCTGAGCCCTTTATCCAGGTATTTCACCTCTTGGGCCTCAGTGTTCTCAGGTGTAAAAAGTACAGAACAGTATCGGGCCTGTCTGCCTCACAGAATTG